GGCCAGGGACCCAACGCGCCAAGGGACGGGGACCCAACACACCAAGGGACACGGACCCAATGCACCCAGGGACAGGGACCCAAGGCACCGAGGGACGGGGACCCAACTGCTGCTGGGTGACGAAGCGAATACGTTTGCAACACATTTTTGTTATTCCCGCAATTCCCGGATAAAGAAAGGACGGGGGAAGTTTGTTTCAAAGCCCCCCTGAAGCAAACGGAGCAGATTTGAAGCCCAGAGCGAATCCCTTTGCTGCAAAACGCGGCGGTTTTACACCTTTTTGGGCAACGCGAAGGAGCGCGGGGTTTTCTGCCGTTGCCCATCGCGGCTCTACACCCTGCAGCAGCTCCAAGAGAGGAAGCAGAGCCGGGCTGGATCTTGTACCTCCTGCGAACCCTCTGCCTTAGATCCTGACCCCCCCAAAAAAGGTCCTGATCCCCCGCTGTGCCTCACCCGGCTTAAATCCCAGGTTGTACGGATTTAAGACATCCCACCCCCCTGTGTCCTCTTCCCACAGCTCGCTCCCGCTGCAGAAACACATAGGGTGTCGGGATAGGAAGAGCCGAAGCCTCTGTCTACACAGACTCAGCAGAAACAGCTTTAGAGAAAGAAAAGGCGGGTCTGGGGGGGGGAGCTACGCAGGATCTGAGCCGGAAGCCCCGGAACTGCCGAGGCCAGGAGCGAGCCCGATCACGCACAAGACGACTCTCGAGACGAGCGAGAGAAACTGGGAGAGCGCGAGAGCAGCACCGCATCAAGACGAACCAAACCCGGGAGATGCCGCGGTGGATACTGCCGAGAAGTCGAGGAAAACCTGAAAAAAGAGGGGAGGGGGAAAAGAGAAAGAGATCCCATCGATAGAAAAACCAAACCGCTGAGCTGCCCCCCGGCCGTAATGGGATCCGGTTCCTTGCTCAGGCTTTGTTTTGGGTTTTGCTGTCCCTGGAAACCTTCCAAGTCTGGGTAAGCCAAACGAAACCCCTTTGACAAACAAACTTGGCTCAAAAGTGGCGAGTGCAACCTGAGGTGGGCGAGAGCTCAGGTGAGGTGGGACCTCCCGAGGAGAAGGAAGACCAAGGGCTGACACAACTCCGTGGGTCCTTCTAAGAGCCCGAACGCACCCAGCACCCCTTCCCATTTCCAAACTCTCGACTCCAATCGCTTGCCCAGGGCCAGGGGCAGCCTGGGGAAGCACAGACACACAGACACACAGACACACGCATGCTACGCCCGCCCGGCAAGAACACGGACACGATTCCAAGCATCTTCCACCACCGAGGCCAGGTTTTTAACCTGCCCTATGAAACTTGGAAGCTCTGTGAATCCTTTGTTTGCTCCGGCTAGGAAGCAACGGGTGCTCCATCACCGAGAGCGGAAGATCATGATGAAGAAGAGGTAAAAGACCGGGCAAACAGAAACACGACTTTGTGCTCCCTCCCCTTGGAACAGGCAACTAATTCATGATTTAAGGCCACCATTATTAAGGTCATCGAGGTTATGTTGAAAGGAGATGATCCTTGGAAACGGAGGAATTTGTTTGCTTAGGTGTACGGTGGCGTTGGGAGCGGGTGATGAATGAATTCTGGGACTCACATTATTATCGCCTGCTGGGCCGGCTCATCCTTTCATGTACCCGCCTCCGAGCGCCTTTGCACCGGTCCCAGCCGACGCAGGTCAGCACCAATTGACCGTAAGGAAGCCTGAGAGCAGCCCCTCTGCTGCTAGCCCAGACGGTGCCTTTTCTCCAGCAACCACGGCGCCCCGTTACGAGCGCGGCACGTGAACGTCTGCAGCTCCCGGTGCGGCACAAGTGACCAGGAACACGCCTGTCACCCCCTGGCCCCCGCCTCCCCCTCTCCCAATCGCTGGGCACAAACCGATTTACAGCGATTACGCTCCCATCGTGTCCAAAATCTGTCGCTGGCATCTTGGGAGTTAGTGTGTGACGAGACTAAACTCAATCCCTCGGTATCTTTAACCTCAGAGCTCAAGGACCTCGATCCCTTTGCCCTCGGAGCTCAAGGACCTCGATCCCTTTGGCCTCGGAGCTCAAGGACCTCGATCCCTTCGGCCTCGGAGCTCAAATCGGAGCTCAAGGACCTCGATCCCTTCGGCCTCGGAGCTCAAAGATCTCGATATCTTTAACCTCAGAGCTCAAGGACCTCTATCCCTTTGGCCTCGGAGCACAAGGACCTCGATCCCTTTGGCCTCGGAGCGCAAGGACCTCAATCCCTTTAACCTCAGAGCTCAAGGACCTCAATCCTTTTAACCTTGGAGCTCAACGATCTCGATCCCTTTGGCCTCAGAGCGCAAGGACCTTGATCCCTTTGGTCTCGGAGCGCAAGGACCTCGATCCCTTTAACCTCAGAGCTCAAGGACCTCGATCTTTTTAACCTTGGAGCTCAAGGATCTCGATCCCTTCAGCCTCGGAGCTCAAGGACCTCGATCCCTTCGGCCTCGGAGCTCAAGGACCTCGATCCCTTTGGCCTCAGAGCTCAAGGACCTCGATCCTTTTAACCTCAGAGCTCAAGGAGGCTTCTGGTGTGAAGGTGCAGTGTTTCAGGTAGCTAGAGCAGAGAGGGGAGCAGATGCCTGGAAGCAGCATGCTGTTAAAAATAAAATACATTGACAGCACGACTAAATGTCACAGCCTCCCAAGAGCTATGTTTTCCTTTGCTGAGAGCGGAGGAGGAGGAAGGGAGGGGGGACACTTGGAAGAGTGAAAGTGCCAAGGGGATCCACCAAGCATGGAGGTTTAGTGTTAATGTAACTGATACCTGAAAGCGAACCTTTCAAGGTGCTTTTCAAAGTGAGGCTCTGCGTGTTCGGATGACTCCGCGAGTTGACGGATCGTCAACTGAAGGCTCGAGGAAAGCGCTCAATCCGCGGCCGTCCTGCGGGGACGGGCGATGGCAGGGTGGACAGGATCTGTACAGGCTATGCAGTGTAAGAAGCGCCATAGCTGCCCTTAACTCACTTGAGAAAAAAAAAAAAAATAAAATCCTTATCGGCCCCCACTCGTCAGGGACTTGGTTATGGTCAGTCTCTCCGGCTGCGAGTTCGCGGTTAGCTCCGTGTCACACGCACAGGCTGTGACATCATCTGCCAGCAGACTGCGACTGTGGAGCCATGATGACGTGTGACGGTATCGGCATGCTCAGTTCTGTCCTTTGGCTCGCCATCTGAGTGAGCACCGAAGTGGCAACCGCTTCTGCCGCCGAGCGGACGCTGAGCCCGTTGGGGGAAGCCGTCACGGAGCTGTGCTGGATGACGGGAGCAGGGGAGCCGGTGGGCTCAGAGCTCTCCTTTGGGCTTTCTGCTTGACCAGAGAAGGAGAAGGGGATTGGGAAAAAAAAAAAAAAAACCAGAAGAAAACAAGGTTAGAGAGAGGCTGTGCGTGTTGCTACCGGTGTTAGCAGCGAGGCGATGGGATGGGAGACTGCTGCTGCCTCGGAGGGTGTGCAGAAATTAGTCAGGTATTTACTTAACACTCACCTTTCCCAGCCAAAGCAGCCTGGAGCGGAAAGGCTGATCCCTACAGGAATCCCAGCTCCCCCCACCAAGCTGGGCCCCTCCTCAAGCAGCTGTTTGGCAAAAGCAAGTGAGGACTGGAAATAAAACTGATTAGAGTTGGGACGTAACGACCCACCGGGTCTGGCTGGCCCCATCCCTTGGAGCAACACCACCAAATCTTACTTGAATTGAGGCCAGGAAGGCGTTAAGGCGCAGGCTTCACCCCGAGGAGGGTAGACCCAGCGTAACCTTTATCGTAATAAATCTGTTTCCTCATTATAACAAATGAACTTTCCTACATGTTGTTTCCTGGCATGGTACTTGGTTCAAGGCCATTTAGCCCAGAGACTGAATAGTTCCTTCGGCGTCCTTACCATCTGTTGGGTGAGCACACAGGAAAGCGTGCGACAGAAACCCTTCTGCAAAGGCAGGTTGTTTTACCATTTTTTAGATAAATTACCTGGTTTGCTCTTTATTGTTCTCTAGAACATTAAAATCAATTAGAGCCTGTTACAAACTGTTGGCTCGCTCGATTTCTTTCGCTAACTTGAAGCGATGCGATTGAAGGGATGGGAGGCAATGAAAGGCAGAGACCTTCTTCCGTGCTTTTTTCTGAACAACGCAGATTGGTTTCCGAAACTCTGGATTCTCTCCCACAAACAGCCCACTGAGCTTCCTAACACAGAGGATAATTTGTGACCTATCAAATGCCAAGGCGAGAGCAATCAGCCCTCTCTCTTTGGGGGTATACGCTCATTATCTACAGATGTCAGGAGGAAATTCCCTCCTGTGCACTTGGCTAGATGAATTACGGGTAAGATGCGGTCACCTTCCTTTAAAAGAGCAAAATAATGGCATGAGCTGGGATACTTCTTCCACGTCAAAGGGTAAACCCCATGACACCAGGGTGGGGGGGGGAAAAAAATCAGAGAAGAGGTTTACAACCTTACTGGGCACCAGCAAACGTATTTTAGGGCTCATTTTTCTACCAGGTGCTTGAATATTGTAGCCGTTTCCCCAATTTCCTAAACGTGTTTTACCTTCCCTTGTGAAACCTTGGCTTGGCCTTCGCCAGCGTGTTGAAAGATGCGGCTAGCACAGCAGATCTGAAAACCCACTCGGCGGTGAGAGAGAAGGTCGAGCGGAGCAATATAATAGTTTGGCATCCCAAAAAGGAGATTTACAAGGTATTACAAATAAAACAACCCAACTGTACATGAGGCAGCTGTAATTCCATCGAGGGAATCTGGCGTTTTTGTTTAAGGACCTGCTTAGTCACAAATCTCAATAAGAAAAAAGGC